CCGCATCCGTTTGTAACTTTTCAGGGGTCTGACTGTCGTCTAAAACAGAGTCAAACGCCCTAGTGACTTCGGACACCGTTTTGTTTTTTAGCGCTCGCACGTACGCTTTCTTTGAAAACACATCGATGACCGTCAACAGATATTTAAAACCGTCGTTGTGCTCGGTCAAGGCTTGCATGTCACAGAGGTCCGCTTGAAATTGGTTCAGAGGTCGCGGTACAAAAACCCTATTTCTGGGAAAATGTATTCTGGCAGGTTTATGCAGAGTGTATGCGTCTTGCTCGGCTAAAAATTCTCTGACTCGGTCAGGGTTTACTCTTTTCCCCGTCTCATCTTGTACGGCCCTGCGGAGTCGTTCGACTCCTCCTAAACTACCCGGGTGAGACGGGTCATAATAAACATTTTTCATGACACGTTTCTCCGACATGTTGAATCAATAATGAACACAACCGTTCGCTTACCAAAACATTTATTTTAAAACAAAAACAATCGCAAGTTATAGGAGCTATACATGATTCAAACATTTAAGATATATGAGCTATACACGGTTACAAACAACAGCAGCAACATAGCATTAGGCTAAAGCAGACGAGAGCAAATTCATGGCAGAGGTCCCGTGGATAATGCGAATATAATAATGCAACCTTCTCAATTCTGTCAAGGTGTCCGCAGGTACGTTATTGCCTCGTACGAAACAACTCACTGCGTCTACAAACAAAGTGTACAGAGTAAGCAAATGGCTTACGTTTGAGGCATTCATCTCTTTAATGATTTTGTAGAATGCATCGGCCACCGAACCGTCTTTTACAAGTTGCAGTGTGGACCGTACCAACACATGTCAGGGTGTATGTACAGATTGGGACCTAACTATGTCCAACATGCATTCCAATCGAGTTACTTTAACGTCTCTGTTCAAACCCGCATGATTCACAGTCATTTTGTTTTTAATAACCTGATCCAAAACACGGATTAAATGACAAATGACCATGTGTTCCTCTACACGCGTTATGAGTTTAGTCCAGTAGTGACCCATTTTCATTCTATAAGCCAAAACTCCAGAGCTTGGTCTACGATTTCAATCTTTTCCTCGTCCCCTTCGGTCATCGTGTTGTAAATCTTGGCGATTGAGTGTTCGATGCGTCTCATCGTCTTAAAGTCATGCAGCAGGAAATCACAAGCCACAATGCCAAAACATACAGCAGCAGTTTACTCACTACGGCTCTCACTGTATTCAGAAATGCCGCAGACAGCACCGAGTCCGTTTCTTCGTGCATTCCTTTACAAGGAGGTCCGGTTCGCACGTATGCTGCGGCGGGAGCGGGCTGTGAAGAAGAACCATCACTGTCGGGTGAATCGGGCGTTGTTGGAGTCGATGGAGGAGGACTAGGAGGAAAGCCCTGGGACGGCTGCAGCGGCGGAGAAGGAGAGGCCCAACGCCTCAGCGACGGCGGTGCAGAAGAAGGCCTGATAAGGTCGGCCTCTGGCGATGAAGGAGCTGATGAAGGCGGGAGAGACATGTTTTTTCAGAGTCTGTCGGTCGTTTTTAACTAGTCCGCCCATCGTAGCTTTTTTAAACGCATTGGTAAGGAGGGAGGGAGGGGTTTGTTTGTGAAAAAAAATGCTGTTTTAGAAGACTCCTCAGTCTTCTAAAACAGCATTTTTTTCACAAGCATAATGTCTCTAGAGCTCCGACTGCTGGGGGGGGTGGGTGAAGTAGGTCAAAGGTCACCATCCATCATCTTTAAATTTGACAGAAGGTGTATTATTCATTCTCTCTTCCAACATGTGTGCTCAATTCCACGTTGATTGGGATGTACAAAAGAAATGTACCTGGATTCATGCGTACGCACAGATTCATACATCTGGATGTTTTTGTGTGTACAACGTTTTCTGGATTTAAGCGTACGCCATGTTTTAGTAGGAAATCCACGCAAGTCTTTGTACATGAGGCCCCTGGACTGCCTTCTTCCACCTCAAGAACATCGCCCGTTTCCGCCCCTCACTCACCTTCTCTGCTGCAGAAACCCTCATCCACGCATTTATCACATCCAAACTGTAGCATCCTCTATGGCTCATCATTCAAACTCCTCAATAAACTTCAATACATCCAGAACTCCGCTGCCCGTCTGCTCACCCACACCCGCTCCCGAGACCACATCATCAGTGTGTGGATGCAAAACAACTTTCTCCAGCTAAAGTCATCGTATTTGGTCCCCAGAAACAAAGAGAAAGTGTCAGCAGTCACCTCCAGTCTCTCTCTCTAAAACCTACAAATCAGGTTAGAAATCTCGGGGTAATAATGGACTCAGACTTGAACTTTAACAGCCACATCAAATCAATAACATCAGCAGCTTTTTACCATCTAAAAAACATTGCCAAAATCAAAGGTATAGTGTCTAAACCTGACTTGGAGAGACTTATTCATGCATTTGTCTCTAGTAGGTTAGACTACTGTAACGGCCTGCTCACTGGCCTCTACTCTGACAATGTTCAAATCTAGGCTCAAAACAGCTCTATTTCACTGTGCATATGACTGAAAGGATCTTATCTGCACTCTTCTCTTTTAAAGCTCATTTTATAATGATTATTTATGTTTTTATTTTGTATTGTGATTTTAATGCATTTTCTTGTTCTGTAAAGCACTTTGAATTACTTTGTGTACGAATTGTGCTCTACAAATAAACTTGCCTTGCCTTGCTTTGCCTTGCCCGTCCTCCAAAACCTACACTGGCTCCCATCACACATCGCATACAATTCAAAATCCTCCTCCTCACACACAAAGCACTCAACAACCAGGCCCCCTCCAAAAAATGATCTGATTTATAAAACCGTGCGCACGCACACTTGCACGCAATGTTGTCTTTATAAATCACAGACCTCCTGGAGTTGTGCGCACCCAGATCCGCCTCATATTCCGCCCTCTACACGCCCTAGTTCAACCATAAATGGTCATGCAAATCACCTCATGAATGCGATCTGCATATAAATAAGCCGGCATGCGAGTGTTCTCTCGTTGTGAGTCACGGCGACAGGTGTGAGAAACAAACCAAAAAAAAACGGAATTTCTCTGAGACTGAGCTAGAGACCCTTTAACGGGAGGTGGAGGACTGAAGAAAGATTTTATTTGGTGGCCACAGCAGCGGGATCACTAATAAAAGAAAGCACATCAACGCTGCTGATGCTGTCAGCTGTGTCTGTGGGACTGCACGGACAGTGACAGAGAAATAAAAAGTGGTCTGATCTAAAGGTAGACCAAATATTTCTACTCCTTTACCAACATGTAGTTAATGTGTTGCTTTTAAATTTGAGGATGTTTGACATTGATGTGCAACATAAAGAATCACATTTATTAAAGGTGGAGGCAAAAAGGAGGATGTGCCAGTGCCATCTTGCGCAATTATGCACGAGGGTCACCGCAGTATTTATATTTAATGGCAATTAGTCTGATCAGACACCCGGCCTGAATTACAGCATGAACCAGTGGTATCCCTGTCCCAAAATACAACGTGTAATTTGAAATGCAATTCAAAGATGAAAGTGTAATAGGCGAACACGTTTCTTCATGCCGGTTTTGTCATGAACAGCACATGTCTAAGTAGGGCTGATGAAATGAGTGTAACGGTTGTGCTTAATGGCTGTATTTCGAGACATGATAAATGCACTGGAAATATTTAGCTAAATAAATAAATATATTCCATGCAGTCGCGCCGTCCTCTCCCCCTCCTGCGCTCACAGAGTGGACAATGAGACGTTAGAGGCAGTGCGGATTAAATAAGTATTTAGAAAGAATTTCAATTCAGGATTTGAGTTGGATTTTACAACGTTTTTATGAAACAATTATCACTCACTCCAAGCGCAGTATAAGGCTGCTGGATTTAATTTCAATGATAACGTGGATCTAAGGTGGATATAGCGTGACATTAAATTTGTGTGAGACATCAATAAAAATCTGACTCCACTTCTCCACCTCGCCGTCTGCGTCGTCACTTCCCAGTATTTCCAAAATGTGCGCACGAATGACTCAGAGTTTGCTTACAGGTGCGCACATTCTCCCGCCAATTTAATTTTTATAAATCGCAACCTTTGCGTGGTAAGTGGCGTACGCCACTTTCAAGCCTCGTTTTGTGCGTAAGCAAGCTTTATAAATGAGGCCCCTGCTCCGTCAGACAGTTTTGTAGTGTCCAGTGTAAATAAAGTTAGGTTTCATTTGCATTGAAATCATTAAGCCTGTAAAATACTGTGTTCTTGACCCTGAAGACTTAATCCACAACCCCGTCTAGTTCCTCAGCTTATCTGCTATAATATTATTATTATTATTATTATCATTATTGTTATTATCATTATTGTTATTTGGGTTTTTTTGTTTTTATTATCATTATTTTCCAAAATGGAGAGAGATGCGCTGATGCAAGTGACGAAGATGCAGATGAAGAGGATAAAGAAAACCAACAACCCGCTGAGTATGTGGACATTTAGCCCCAACCAAACACAAACACACGCGCGCACACACACACACAAACACACGCGCACACACACACACACACACACACACACACACACACACACACACACACACACACACACACACACCACCCTGTGACAGGAATCGCTGGCTGAAAAAGAAATGAATGGATTTTTCTGGTCTTTTCTTGGTTATTAACATTTTATATTTCCACAGGTTATTTTTGTGTGACAAAGTGAAATGGTAATAAAAGTGTATATTTATAAAGGTCTGAGGTTTATCTGTATGAGGAAGCTGTCTGTTTGATTTCACTCGTGTCAATCAAACTAACTTTACACTGATAGTTTCTTTTACATTATTCTTGTCATTCTTTGTAAGTGTTACTTTCTTCCTGTCTGGAGTAATATGGAGTAAATTATTCTGTAAAGTTATTACAGCACTTCATCTCAGCCCCCCGACACCTGACCCCCGACCCAGATCAAGATCCTCTACAGAGAGACACATGACACAAACAGGAAGTAAATCATTATGTTCATACCTGAGAAAAAAGAGCACAGATGGCCACCAGCGTCAAAGGAACGCCGATGACAAGAACTATGTATGTCACCACATTTAAGCTGAACATAAGGTTATCAATATCATTGTTGTAGGTGTAGCTGATGTTGCTGGGATCAGAGCTGTAGTTGTGTGAAGTGTTGTACTTGTGTAAATCTTCCATTCTTCAGAGATGAACCTGTAGGTGAAGAGATCAGGTTATAGACAGGCAGCGTGTTGTTTCATCCCTAACACTGTTCAGTGACGTCACTAACGTACAGCACACACTTATTACACACACAGTCACATCAGATCAAATGTCACATTATCTGCTAATAATGTTAAATAACATTGAGGTAATACAACAGGTTCTAGTGACGTACGTGCTGCTGTGAGGTCCAGTTGTTTCACTAATTTAATGTCATGTTGAATATTAATGTGCGTTGGTTTAGGACGCGTTGTCTGTCCTCTGTACTCGACGAGGACGTTCACATGACTGATGAACCATCTGCAGTATCTTTTTATGTTCGGACTGAGTTCTCGTCTTTGTTCACGTCTATCAACATTTTGGTCATGTCATGTCCATCTCTGTCTGTCCTGTCTGTCTCTGCTGTCTCCTCTCAATCAATGTTCTCATTTCACACTAAAACATATTAACGGACTGTGAGAGGTGTTGCGTTCCTGACATGCTCACACAAGTCTTTTGCCTATCTCAGCTGTCATCATTTCACTGCACACGTCACTGGAAACACGTCTCAGTGGATTCATACAGAACTATAGACACAATAAGGATAGTTTATAAAAGCATTTTCTAAATATACAGATTCCATCCCTCAAACGTCTGAAGAGTTCTTTTATTAGTCTTTAACTCATATTCTTTATTCTCTATCTTTAATGAATGAGTTTGTTACCAGCTCAGACTGTTTTTTATTTTTCACACACACACACACACACACACACACACAGATCAAAATTATATTCAAAGAAATACTTCCCCCACAAAACGACCACTAGTATGTCAGTGACTCACCGTGTGTTACGTTAAATTAATGATTCAGTGCTCAGTGTGGAGACGTGAGAGAAAAAGAGAATATTCTTAATGAATTAAAGTCACGGGGCTCTGTGAGGAACAACAGCAAAACTATATCAGAACATCCGTTTACAAACTCTCACACATCTCCCGCAGGATAATCCAAGTCTGATTTAACCGGCCGTACGCTCAGTTCTCCCCGAACACACGACTCTTCACTAAAACATTACGAGTTAAAACACTTCTGCGCCCCGGACAGGAAACACTGGAGGCACGCCAGAAAATCTTTCTTCATGAATTCAAGGAAACACAAGGTGAGTCACTGACACTGAAAATTATTTCCATTAAGTTACAATATGTACCTGTAATATTTCACAATTAATGACATTATTATCACCTTAAAGTCCAACTGGTAGATGCAACTAGTCGCCTGTAATTTACTGTAAATGCACAGTTAAATATTTTACAGTGTACTGATGGGGATTTTGTGGGGAAAGTAATTCTTTAAGGGAGGAGAGGAAGAGAAGAACACAGGTCAGTAAAATATAGCGGCAGTAAACTGCACAGCCTCATTTTGATCCTTCAGATCTATTTTTCTGACTGTTTACAATCTGATCTCCTCACATGAATCACTACATACAGCAGAAACAAAGTTATGTTAGAGAATGTACCTCTGACAGCTCCGAGCCCTCTGTGACCTGGACCAGTTCCTTCTGTCAAGTTGTTGTTTTGTCCCTCACATCCAAACAGTCTGCAGTAAATGTAACTGATGATGGCGTGTCTGATCATTTCATGATAATCTGCATCTGCTTATTAAACATAAGGTATGAAGGCATGAACACAGTGTATGCAAAGCACACCAGAGGGACAGAATTTATCAACAAGACACACACACATATGCTCCTCTGCTCATTTGTATTATCTGTCCACAGCAACACAGCTTCTTCTGTCCACACCTCGTCTCTGTTGATTTATTTGCATCACCAGTTTTACAGACTCATACCTGCTCACTACCAGAGCTCAACAGTTATCCACGATCATGTCTGCAACCCAGTCCTTTAAGACTGGACCCGACCCCATCCTTTAATTTAAGACTGGTGACTCCGTTAGTGCCTGTAATGAAACAGGCTCACCTCATGCTTGCTTACATCAGCATACTGATTGATAAACATGTCTGACGGTCACTGACTCAGAGCAATTTGAACCCACAAGCACGACAAGAAACAATCAGTTCAATTCCTAAAGTTCAAGTCCTAAAGATTTAATCCAACAAACAGGCAGGGGTCAGAACCAGGAGATCAATCAGAAGGAGCAAACTTAATCGACAGGGGTGAGGCAGGGAACCAGAGCCAGGTAATCAGGCATAGAGCGATGTTACCCTCCGATACAGGGAGTAATAAAGGGAGGAGAGGAGTGCCCCCACTGCAGAACCAGAGAACGAACCTCATCTGGCACAAAAGGACGGTTATTAGGGCAAGTGCTGGGAGATGGGTGGGTATTAAGAGAGTCCCTTACCTTCTGCTCCACCTCCCAGGCAACCACACCAACTACCAAGGATCGGGGCAGAATCTCCTCAGGTTGGGAAGGATGGTCCTCAGCTTGGTAGACACGAGATAGAGTGTCTGGTTTCATGTTCAGACGATGAACAGCAGTTTAGCTCCCTCCAACCAGTGCCTCCACTCTTCCAACACCATTTTGACGGCCAACAGCTCCCGGTTCCCTGTGTCATAATTGCGTTCTGCGGGGGATAGATCATAAGAAAAGAAGGCACAGGGATGGAGTTTATGATCAACAGCAGATTTCTGAGAGAGTATGGCCCTCACACCCAAATCTGAGGCATCAACCTGCACCACAAACTGACAGGATGGGTCAGGCAAGTTGAGAATAGGAGAGGAGGTGAAACATCTCTTTAACTCACCAAAGGCCTTGTCTGCTGCAGATGACTAAAGGAAAGGAGAGCTTGGAGAGGTCAGCACAGTGAGAGGAGCAGCCAACATGCTGTGGTTACGGATGAATCTTCTGTAGAAGTTGGCAAACCCCAAAACTGTTGCAACTTCTTCCTGGAGGTTGGAACTGGCCACTCGACGTCTGCCTGAACCTTGGCTGGATCCACCTGCATGCACATATGAGAGTTTACTACACCCAAAAAATGCGCCAGGGCACAACAGAAACACATCCACCCTCCAAACCTGCAACATTCAGATATCAGGCAACTGAGAGGTGTAATTGAGCTCAGCTGGAACCTCATCAAGGGACGCTCCACCCGCTACTCTACATAAAGGCGTTGCCAGTTTATACCTGGTGTTTTATCTGATTCTCAGTGTAGATTAATAAAGTCCATAAATCTGTCAATTTTGTCCTTCCGTGAACTGGTCACGTTAAAAGGAACCCCGACTAGTTAGACATGTAGGCCTTATATCATCAATATTAGTGTCCGTTATATTAAGTTGATATAAATAACATTGTAGGAGTCTTTGTTTAAAAAAAAAAAAGAAAATATAATTTCAGTCGTAGGTCGCCATTGTTGTTTATGTCGCAATGCAGTGTGGGTAGTGACGTCTAATGGTTGCAACCGCTGTTTCTGACAACTGCGCGAAAAATGTCAGCTATTCAGCCGTTTGAATTTGAACCCGAGCGACATGCTAGCGAGGACAACACAGAAAATATACAGGAAGAACACGAAGACGTAGTAGCAGGGGCGGACTGGGACTAAAAAACAGCCCTGGACTTTGACTCAGCCCAGCCCACAACAACTGGTGCGCATACAGTATGCGCTTCCTTCTTCTTCAATTTGATTGGCGGCTGGCCGGCTCGTAGATATCTATAGGCTGGCTGGCATCCAATTTAAAGGCTGCCACCTAGCGGACTGGATGTGGAACAATAGATTATCAGGGAGAAAAAAAAAAAAAAAACGGTGATGACTGCGTGGCAGCCGCTGGCCGTCCTGGAGTACCAGCCAGGAGCTTCAACTTTTGTCAGCAGCTGTTCAAGGTACCGTAAAACGTCATCCAATATCAATGATTATTGATGATTAGCATCCACCACTGTCGTATGCTTTATATGTTGTGATACACAGTAAAACACACTGACAAGATGCTTACGAGTTTGATCATTGTTGAAGATATCCCGTGCATCACAGCACACGACAACTTCGGGGCAGTTTGTCTTAACCGAGACGTGCTGTGGGCTGCCCTCGTCAGTCTCCATGACCGGGAGAGTGCTGGACTGCCGAACCGGAACCGGGTCACCAATAGGTAACATTAAATCCAAACATCAAACACCAGAAACTATTGTCATATGTTGTGAAGAGAGTAAATGAATGTGGAATTTCTGTTTGCAGGTCTTTTAGATATGCTGCATATCGTCAGTTTACGTGGTGGATGCATGGCTGGCTGGGGAAAAGAATCCGCAGAGTCATTCCTTCATGTGACGTTGCTAAAATAAGAAACGTCTACCCTGAACCAAGTGGCATCTACACAGGGTTTCAGGAAGTAGATATTGAAAACATAGAAACTGATGAATCATGGAGAAATTTTCATAACTTATAATGTTGAAACAGCTATGAAACATTTCTGAATGTTGTAAATAAATTATATGAATATCAGCAGAGATTTCTCGTTTGTTTTTTGATTTATTAATGATCAGATTTGAAGATTGCTTTAGAGGATTTGTTTTTCAGATATGAATATTGATAAATATATGAAATATTAGTAAATGATGGTAAGTAAACTGAAACTGAATGTGTAAACATTCCTCTGCTGCGCTCAGGAATCACTGGATCAAAACTGATTTCACTTTAAATTCAATCAAACTGATATCAAAACAATTCTTAACCATTACAAAGTTCCTTTCAATGCATTTATAAAGAAATTGAGATCAAACACGTCTTCATTATGTCACGTAGAGGTCCGATTAAACATTTTGATTTGTAAAGTTACACAAACTCTGCTGAAATCATTTTAAGTGCAACTGCTTTTTGTGAGACTATCTAAAACCAAACGCTACTTAAAGTGTGACAACTGCTGTGTTTCAGAAAGGATCTGTGATCTGGATGGTCTCTCTGGTGGAGCCATGATGTGAGTCTGGTTCAGTCCAATGTCCATGCCATGGTTTGAATCTGACACAGAGGAGAGAACATCTGCCACCATGGCCTT